ATTTTTATTATTATTATTAGGATTTTATTTAAAAACACGGAGTCCAATTCACATAGTGTGCTCTTCCCTGGAGCCGTGCAAAACTACCAAATATATGTAGATAACTATAATAAAAACAATTAAATAAGTAGCCTATAATTAGATTAATACAATTAAATATATACAATTAAAGAAGTATTTTATAAACTAAGCTATATGAGACTTATATTCAGCAATTGATTTAGCATTAATCGCTTCCACAGGCAAGCTATTCCACAGAACAGTTCCCCGATAAGTAAAGCTTTTTTTGAGAGCCTCCGTCTGAGGTCTAGGGACGAATTGTTTAGAGCTAGAGCCTCGTAAATTATGGTTGTGAACCAGATTAACGGACGTAAATTTATCCGAAAGATAATCTGGAACCATCTTATTCATTGTTTTAAACATAAGCGTTTTAAATTGCTGAGATCGTCTTTCTTCTAGGTTTGACCAATTTAATTCACTTAGAACCTCGTGTGAGCGGACACTATAGTGAGAACCATTAATAATACGAGCGGCTCTGTTTTGCAATTGTTGGAGTTTTTGTGCCAGACCCTTACCCAAATTACCCCAAACACTACTGCAATAATCAAAATGTGGTTGAATCAAGGATTTGTAGATTAAAATTAGGATACGACGCGGAAGATATGATTTTAATCGCCTTAAAACTCCAATTATTTTGGTAATTTTTGAGGTAATTTGAGCAATATGTTCATCCCACATCAAGCACTCGTCCAAGCCCAAGCATTTGTATTTTTTAACTCGCTCAATGATATTGCCATCGATGGCCACTGTTGGTTGACTTGGTAAGGTAGCTAATTTGTGTCGAGTTGCGATGAACGCTTATTTATGTTAACTAAGCCAATTTTTAAGCGAAAGTAAATCACTATTCATTACGGAAGTAGTTGATTAATGTCGTTATCCGCATATGTCAAGCTAGTATCATCAGCATATAGATGTCCATCAGATATCAAGTTACAATTTGGTAAGTCATTAATGTACAACAAGAATAACAAAGGTCCTAAAATGGATCCTTGAGGAACCCCACATGTAATATCAGAGCTATCAGATGGGATATTGTTAACAACAGTTATTTGAGTACGTCCCGTTAAATAATCGCGAAAAAGTTCAATGGTCTTGCATTTAAAACCATATCGAGATAATTTATTTAGAAGAATTTCATGGTCAATGGTATCAAAAGCTTTTTTTAAGTCAATAAAAAGTATAGCATTGATTAAACCATTGTCCATATTAGAATACCATTTGTCAGTGATATCTATAATGATCAAGAATGGACTTGAATTTCTGACTAGTAATTCCTGAACCTTTAGCCTCAAGAGGCAAATTATTCCAGGCCGAAGAGGCTGTATAGCTTATGCTTTTCTTCAAAAAATTTGTACTTGGTTTGTCAAGGGTGAAATCTCGATTGTTGCTACGGAGGTTATACCGCGAGTTTGTTTTAATATCAAACATATTCATCATACTAATTGGCAGTTCATTATTCCTTACCTTATGCATAAAAAATAGTTTTTTGTATAATAATAAATTCGCGGCACCTACTGTAACACTAACCCCAGCCCCAACCCTAACCACTAACTTTTTTAACTTTTTAAATTTTTCTAACTTTTTTAAAAATCTAACTTTTTAAACTTTTCTTGCTTTTCAAAACTCTTTTAAGACTTTTTAAAACTTTTTTAAAAACTATTTTTTTAAGAAACCTGAAAACTCCATTGCATTTATAACAATAAATCTTGTGCAGTGCTTGTGGTTTTATGATTAACTCTATTGATAAATTCAAAATGTGCCGCGAATGATAAATTCGGACGTGTTTAAGAATTTACTCATATAGTAAATTCAAAGGTGGAGTTCATGCTGGATATATCTGATTAACCAATCAGATGAGTATTAAGCAAGTGAGAGGTGGTGGTAGTGAAAGTCAAATCTGAATCTCATTATTAACCGTGATCAGGTACAACGAATCATCTAGCTTCGTATCAGACGTTTGTTGGTGGGCGAGAGAAGCACGGCGGATGATCGGATCATCTGATCTGTCCGATAGTGCAACTTTTGAGAGCGTGGATGGAATCTTCGTGCTACGAAATACTTGGGACTACGAGAAGTAACTTGGAACTTGCTAGTGTCAGAAATCGGGTAAATAAATCGAGCTCAGTACCAACCTTTGCCTGTAAGTCTTCAGAACTGCCAGTCTTGAGATAAAGTTGAAGTAATCTTGGTAAAACATTTGCAACAGCTACAGCTTTTGCATGCTCCGGTGTATGACGACCTATCTGACCTAGTGCCCAGGCTGTCGCGGCCAATATATGATCTTCCTTCTCTTCGCTCAGAGCAATTGCAAGCTGGACCACTCCCTGGTGAAAAATATAAAACATGAATACCTCTGATACATGCAATGAAATGTTTAATTTCCAAACATGAAAACATCAGTCGTATGATGTTTGTGATGTTACTCTGAGTGTATATCCACACCGGGCGAGCTTGAAAAATATGCCCGGCCACGGTGGGAATCGAACCTACGACCTTTGGAATACTAGCCCAATGCTCTGCCAACTGAGCTACGCGGTCAGGACGGTTCGAGTAAGTGATATTTCGGAACAGAATCTAGTTCCTTCGATGTACCAATGTAATCTAGTAATATGATTTTTTTTGTTTG